ATATTTATAATTTTAATAAATGACAAATTAAAAAGGCATGAACATTTTTTTTGTATCGAAAAAATATCGAACCGTGACACCAAAGTATCGAACCGAACCGAACCGTGAATTTTGTGTATCGTTGCACCCCTAATATATATATATCAGTACTTGCTAATGGTGGTAAAAGTGACTCATAAATTTAAAGGTGAATGGGTTTCTTAGAATCTCGACAATCAGTCTCTCTTATTTTACCCTGTCTATGTTTCTTCTGTCACGTCTGTCTTTCTTGCCTTCCTGCCATTCTTTTATTTACATTCTGCCTCACTATAAACACTCCCTGCCTTTTGCTGTTGTGTTTTTACCATTCCAACTCAACCCTCTATCTCTTTTTACGGCCTTTGTCAATATTTACAACAGGCTGTTCACTTCTATATTTGCATTTGCTTCCACATTCTCTTGTCCTGACATCACTCTTTTACCTCTCTTTTAATTTTGCTATCTCTCTCAGCACCTCTAAAACACCCACCCCTCCAACACCTCCACCCCATTTCCTCTTTATCTCTTTCACTCACTCTCTCACTCTGGGATGCTCTGGCACCTAGATTACAGATCATTGCTGCCGCCTTCACTGAAAGGCAAATATCAATGAAGGGTCCACACTAAGATGGACAATGGTAAACAGCAGAAAGGATTTTCTTCTTTAAATTGTAATTTATTGGACACAAAATCTTTGAGGAAAGGAAACTGAAACAAAATCAAGAGGACCACACATGACCAAATCTCTCTGCAAACTGGAGAAGATCAAGAGGCAGGGAACAGTTCTCTTTCTCTCTGTGACTTTGAAATTCCTTTCCGAGAGAAAAAGCAGAGATGAAGGGATAGTCAGAGAGATGGGCAGTGACTAAAGTGTAGCACGTGAGGAGCAGGTGCTGAGTTGGAAAAGGGCTGCACAAGCTAATCTGCAAGTTGCGCTCAGAAGAGGCTGGAAAAGATATTCATCTGCATTTCGTCACTCACTTGGATGAGTAACGAAACGTTTCTCCCACTGAAAACGCTACGTCCAGATCAGCAGAATCAACTTTTGAAGATTTATCTGCATTCGTTTGAGTCCTTATTTGCTGCATTTGAGGATTAAAACTGTTTCTCTGTGACTGTTTTTCTAAGGTCAACCAATTGCATCTCTCAGATGTCTTTTGAAAGATCTGAGAGTGAGGTCTTTTATTTTTTGAAATTTTCTCAGTCATGACAGTTTTGCTGTCTAGAGCCGTGTTTCAGTTTATGTCTACGTGAACTGTTTGGAATCATGTGCCCCACTGACCTGTTACCTTCGCGGGGTCCCATTAAAAGGTTTCCATCCCAAGCCTCTGGACTAATTGCTCTCTATAAGAGTGCCTGGATAGGATGGCTCATTCTGGGATGTATTGCTGGACCTTCCAAACACAGTTCATCCCCATCAGGGAGGTTAGAGAACTCCAGGAGCGCCACCAGACCTCGGGTGGAAAAAGGCTTGATTGCTTACCCCGAGGAGCTACACTTAGAGGTGGCAAGGCACCACTCCACTTCACCCGTCTCCATATATAGATCTCCACTATTGCTAAAGGGTGGTCACAGTGAGTATCAAAAAACAGCACAATAACATTCAAAGAACAGGGAATTCAATTTCAAATGTATTAGTAAAAATGTGAAACTCTAGTATGAACGGCTGCCATCAGTTAGCAGTATAGTGAATAGTAAAAGTGAATAGTTCTTGTTCTCCTTCCTGTTCTCATGGACACTCAGGTTTCCAGCCTACATGAAAAAAACTTCCTCAACCCTCACAATTAAAAATGTGTAAATACAATTCAAAGATCTATAACAAGCTGCACATTAGGTTGTTGCTTAGCTACTTTTTTGCACAAATGTTATAAATAAATCTCTATCCACAAATACATACCAAGGTCATGTACATCATACAGAATATACTGTTAGGTCCCTGTCACAGAAGTCAGACATCACAGAAAACACGGCCAAATGCAAAACGAAGAAAGAGATAGACAAAGGTGTTTCCACTTTATCGTCATCGCTATTTTTCTGAGCAATATGTGATTTAGGAATTTGTCTTCAATAAGTAAAAGTACTTGTTTTCTTCCTGTAGAATACCATGGTCAAATCACATTGTATAATTAACATCAGCATGAGCAGTGTGTTTTTGTGCAGAGGCATTTTTCTGTACTGTCATCAAACTGGTCTCCCAGTCAGGAGTCGAAAAGAGTTCTTTTTTCTCCTCTTGTCCCTGACGTGTCTCCCTGTTCTTTTTGGCGCACATGCAGCCTGACCATGTGGTACTGAGGCAGGTTACTGACTGGTAGTTGTTGGGACTGGTCCCTTCTGGGGGTCTTTGGGAATCAGAATTATTCAGCCTTCAGTTAGCCATTCTGGGTGTCTCTCATTGACTAGCAGCTGGTTCATGTGTACTGCCAGACAGTCATGGAGTGCAGTCACCTTCTTCAGCCAGTAGACGTGAACCATGTCAGGGCCTGGTGCTGTCCAATTCTTGGACAATTGGATGTCTGCCACTGAGCATTGCCTTCGCTACTCTGTTTAATGATCACAGCAAGTCTGAATCAGACCACACTGTCTTAGATTTAATCTGGTATGACTGAAGCACAACAGATGGACAAGCAAATACTGTACTTTCAAATAGACTATGAAATTCAAGCCGAGATGATGAAATTGTGGTTCACTAAGCCAAAGCGCAAGTTCAGTACACGCTACACAATTAAACTACCAGCCTGACATGACTGTGTTTTTATGTACAAATGCACATAAAGCAAGCATATAGCAATGTAGCTCATCTTCACCACCTTCTTTAACTTAATCAATGCTCTAAATGTTTTCTTCAGTCTGTTTGAACCCCAAAATATCATGTCAGTAAAGCCACTCTCTGCTGGGATTAAGACAAAGGGCTCTGTGTCCAGTTAAACCAGGGAAAGATGCAGTTTCTGACACCATCCCAGATTGTGTATTTAGGATATCTGTAGACACATGGAAATGTCTGTGAAGGTTCTCAGTCATCCAAGTCATCGTAGTCAAAGGAGCTTGAAAGAAAAGCGTCTGGACTTCTTTAAGTTGCTTGAAGACGTTTCACCTCTCATCTGAGAAGCTTCTTCTGTTCTAGGTGGAGAGTCCCAGATTTGAGTTTCCCCCCAAGAGGGTCAATGGACCCCATAATGATCCTCTACCTAATCACACGAGCCAAGGTGTGAAAGTGGGTGTGGGTCCCAATCAGCCAGGGTTTCGGGTGAGCTCATTGTGAAACCTGGCCCCACCCTATCATGTGATGTCCTGAGGTCAGATGGCCCAGGATGTGAGTGGGCGTTAAGGCGTCTGGGGAGGGATCTGAAAACTGGATTATAGATGGCAGACAGTTGGTGTCGTGAACCACCGCCTCTGTTCAAAGATGGTCGCTCACAGTGGACATGGATGCTTCTTTCACTCCTCTTTCAAACCAGCCACATAGAGATCTATAACATTTCCCATGTTTACATAGCATTAGCATTTTAATATGTACAAAGGTTCACATATACTTCATACCAGAACCAAGAAAAGTCAACACAGAACTTGAACATGTTGTGGTTCAGCCATTTGATTCATGTTACAGCAGCTCATGAGTGAATGAACACGGTGCGATAAAAGTACTTTTAGAAGTACATTTTCCCAAACACTTACATTTAGTTACATCTGTTTAAATTTACTTGAAGGGTTAGGGGTTGCCACCTCAGCATTCAGTCAACTTCCACAGAGTCTTGCTGATGACCTGCTTGTCTTCAGCATCTAGCTAGCTCCACAAAAGAGGAGCAAGCATAAAGTGAGTAACGTTTTTTAAGTGTCAGGTCATTTTAAATGCAGCATTTCTATCAGCTTAACAAACATCAGCAAACACACAAACTGAGTTTGTTGCACAGTGTGTTGCAGCTAAAGCTCAGATTGTGGTCATAAATATTTTGTACTTGTAAATCAAATGCGTATTTGTGTACTGAGTTTTGTAACCTTGTAAACCAAAATATATGAAAATTTATGTTTGTGCATTTACAGATGAATATTTGTGTTTGTAAAAAATATTTACACGAGTTACAAATTTTTTTTAAGGTCTGCTTACAGGTACAAAGCAAAAAACTCCATGTAAAACTCAGGTTCCCTGGCTGCATGTGGATTTACACTTACACATACAAATTTTGACCTGATTTTTCTTCCTTTCAGCTGATTGGTCAATGTCATGTCAATCACAAATTTAACAATCCAATCAGAGAACAGATGGGTTTGGCTGTTGGAGGGGGGCGTTACTGAGAGCACAGTAGGTTAACTGTGTTATTTAAAGGTTGCATGAAAGTAACCTGCAGGTTAGTGCAGGATAAACCGGTTAGTTTGCTGTGCTGTACGATCTACTGTACAATATAAAGCGCCTTGAGGCGACTGCTGTTGTGATTTGGCACTATATAAACAAAATTGAATTGAACTGAATTGCTGTGATGGATTTAAAATAAAGTGCTGTGTTGGACTGGTGCACAGTAGCTGTGGAGCTCATGGTCAGAGTTCAGTTACGTCAAGTATACCAGATCCTTCATTCCAACTCCATACTGTCTAGTATAAAGACAGCAGTCTCTACAAGCATACTGACAGTATCCTGTCAATGCAGAGTATGGAAACCTTCCAGGGCAGTTCATGAAACCTCAGAGCCCAGATCACAGCCTGTACATTAAAAAATCTACTGGAGCTCTCGATAGAAATTATTGTGACTTGTGATCCTTTTCCACACGCTGAGCCACTGCAACCACTTTTAGGATTCCACCATGTGCTGAATCTTATTGTAATCCCATTCCCTACTGTGTTGGGAAGGTTACTTTTAAAATGTATTCCACTACAGATTACAGATTACATACCCCAAAATTTTGTAATGTATTCCGTTACGTTACTTAATAAGAGTAATGTATTCTGGATACTTTGGATTACTTAATATATTATCATGATTTTTCCAACTACATGAATGTACTATTGCTGTGTGATTTATTACTATTACTGAAGGTTACTCTCCACACCAACACCAACTGGATGTTTAAATCTTAATATAAATGAGTAACAGTAGGTGGACATTAGGTAAAGCTGCACTTTTTGCAGTGATCTCGTGTAGAAAACTATTCCACGCGTATATAAAACAGGTCCGCGGCTCCGAACCGTAGTAAAGGACCTCTGACTAATACGTCGGGTTCGTGTCGGCTCGTAGCTGAAAAATAGCTTTACTTTGTTTTCTGGGTCACTTTGCTTGCGACAGACAGAGAGAGGCGTTGAAAGGCTGCTCCAACGGAACTTATTGTTTCGGAGGAAAACACGAACACGGTGTACAGTCGAGTCTTAATAGCTTACTTACAGCTGGGCTCGTCAGGTTCTCTTCTTGGCTGCAGTGGTTATTATTATATTTACATGCTTCCAGCTCCCGTTTCTGCTCGGTGACAGCTCGTACTTTTCCTTTTCCTCCCTCGCTCACAGACACATAACGGGTACAGCAGTCCAGTCTCCCTGCAGCACGGACTACACTGCCCATCAGGCTGCATGCTTTAGGGCGATGCCTGTAACACTCTGCTATTGCCTTCATATTAAATCAGTTTTGTGAATAATTTTTAAAAATATTTCTTCAAGTCATTATGCGAACCGCAAGTAGAGACATGGGCCGCGAGATTGAGACACAGACATCAGAGCCTCTTAATGCGTTTTCTATTTGGGTTTCCAGCGGCGTGGAATTACCAAAAACAGAGAGGGCATAGCTGAACATATGAAACAGGAAAAGACCGCCGTGTAATCCATTTATTTATACCATTATACCACCTTTTTAACCAGTAACTGTAACGGAATACAGTTACTCATATTTTGTATTTTAAATACGTAACGGCGGTACATGTATTCCGTTACTGCCCAACACTGCTGATCATGTTGTACTTAACTGATCCAAGCTCAGTACATTTGTCAGAATTAAATTTTATGCTGAAAAAAATGTGGTTTTCCATCTCCTAATACTACAAGGTTTAGTTAACGTTTCACAAAAATAGCTGGTAGAAATGTCCTCCAAAGAGCTACTTACTTACGTTCAGTACATTTAAAATATTTCACTTTTACTTGAGTAAAGAAGTTGAATCAGTACTTAAACTTTTACTGGAGTATTTTTAACATTAGTACTTGTACTTCTACTTGAGTACAGAATGTCTGTACTTTTACCACCTTTGCTATTTTTCGCCAGTACGTGTGTCAAGTTCACGTATCTAAGTCTGGTCTCATGTGTACAACTTCCTCTTTTATTTTGATAGTCCTCTGTCTGTTGCTTGAGTCTTCCTGACCCCAGTGGAATTAGCATAAACTATGATCCTTTAAAAAAACTGGGCACTCTTTGTACATTAGTAAGCACGTTGAAGCTGAGCTTCTATTTAGTGTAAACATGTCATTAAGTTACCTCAACTTCTTGTTCAAAGCTACCACGATACAATTTACAACACTTAGTGAAAAGATGCAGATCTACAGTTAGCAGGTCTTTATTTTCTAATTCATGATTTCTCCTTGTTTTGCTCAGCGGGGACAACATACATCTTTGGCAAAGGTGGGGGCCTCATTACATTCAATTGGCCAGCCAATGAGAGACCAAGCACCAGAACGGACAGGTTGACTGTCGGCTTCAGCACCTCCCTGAAAGATGGCATCTTAGTCAGAATTGACAGTGCACCTGGTCTAGGGGACTATCTCATGCTGCATATAGTAAGTTCAACTCAAAATATTGTCCTTGAATAATTTGTGATTTTTTTGTCCTTTTATTGAGTTTTTGGTTCCTTTTTTTACAGTAAAGTAGATTCATAGTTTTATCCCCCAGCATGTTCCACAGGCTTCAGCTGTCACAATATGTGGATTTTAGAGAGAAGGACACAGGACTATGTATACAAGAACTCATTACTTGTGGAAAAAGAGAGGGACACAGAGGACAATGAAACACTAAATATTTAAACTGATAGAAATTAACATCACTGAGCCCTGCTCTCAAAAACTGACATAGACGTAAGACTGTCTGTGAAGCTGGACCGGGAATCCCATCAGCAGTATGTCAGCAGGGAAAATAGGTCAATGTGTGCAATGGCCCAAAAACACAAGCCAAAAAAAAGAGAAGGCTCAGAGGAAGAGATGCCGCACTTTCCCCCCTCACGTCATCTCACTGACTGGATTACTTCTCATTACAATTTAAGAAATCCGAAGCCCGACTGTAACGTGGAGACTTTTTCCCCTGCAGACATGTTGATTGAATGTTAGGATTTCCAGTCGTCTTTGGTAAGACGCAGCTTTGGTGTGATATGCATGTAGTAACCTGTTATGTAGTACTGTTTGGCTCAAACAGGCTCTCCTCCACACAGTCCTCATTCATAAAGTGCTTTACAAACCCAAACATTATGGCTAACAGGCGGATTTTACCGTTGGAGTGCAGCTAGCCAAACAGTCAGATTTTGAGAGCAGGGCTCCGTGATGTAAATTAGCCTTTATATGTGTAGTGTTTCACGTCCTGTTTAATAACTCTTTACTCTCATTTCAGCAACAAGGCAAAATTGGAGTGACCTTCAACATCGGCACAGTGGATATCAGCGTGCAGGAAAGCAGCACCCCAGTGAATGATGGGAAGTATCACGTTGTCCGTTTCACCAGAAATGGTGGCAATGCTACACTGCAGGTGGATAACTGGTCTATGAATGAACATTTCCCACCAGGTACAGTATTAATAAATCTGTCAGCTGTTAAAGAAAAACAACTGGTATTAACTGGTAATAATGATGCAGTGGGGTTGTGTCATTATGATACGAGATCACTGGGCAGCATGTGCTTCAGTAACATCAGATTTTAATTTCTAGCATAAAACGGTGTCTAACATAGTGGGATTTATCTGTGAGGAGCGAAACACATTACGTACTACCATACTGCATTAGGGATTACTATGTAACTCTGTAGACTTTGGATGGACATGTTAGACGCGTTGTCCTAAAAGTAAAGACAAAAAGAATTATGTTCCAAGCCTCCATCAGGATTTCTGACGATTGCTGTATTAGTGCTAAAGTTCAGGGCCCCTGCTGCTGTGATGGTTTACAAAAATCTCCTTTCATTTGTAACCCTTTTACATGAGTGAAGAGCAGAACTCTGTTGGCAGTAGTGTTTTTTATTCCTGTGTTTGCTCCAACTGTCTGAGATAATTTGATATCCCAGATCGCACTTTGAAAAAGCACAGATTGGCAAATGATGATTGCTGTGATTCGTGCAGCCTGTCGAAACCCAGTACACACCCACATACCATGGGGCGGTATAATGGAACTATGGTGACGTTATCATACTGACACAATGAGGATCAAGGATATCTATAAGTGTTTGTGGAAATACTGAGAGGAAGGAGAAAGCTGTAAGAGTCAACATAAAGTCTTCTGACCAGTGACCTGTTATGGATAGATTGAGGATAGCATGTTCTAGTTTCTGAAACTGTGCTTGTTTAGGATGTGGCAGAAACGCAGCCTAACATTAATTGTACACCTACAGTGGGGCAAAAAAGTATTTAGTCAGCCACCGATTGTGCAAGTTCCCCCACTTAAAATGATGACAGAGGTCAGTAATTT